CAACAAATCAAGATGGACTGGGTCAAAATGTATTAGAACAGTAATTAGGATGGTAACATGGCATTTGGTTTAGCACCAAGTAAGTTTAATTATGAAGTTCAAAGTACAACAGCATAACCCAGTGTAGTGTAGTGGTTAGAGTGCTGAACTAAGCCTCAGGAGATCCAATATCCAGTTCCCACTTGCCATGAAAGATATTCACTGACACTGTCTGTAATCCTAAACAAGATTTAGGTCCTTCTAAACTCATGGGATTTCGGTTGCAACACTACTTATGACTGTACTGTGAGTGAGCCTGGCTGATCACTCTTTTTCTCAGGGTATTAGTTGTGAGGATAAAATGGAAGGAAGAAGAACCATGTTTACTGCCCTGGGCAACTTGGACGAAGGGTGCAGTTAACACACAGTACTAAATAAATAAATCTAAACTGAGCCCTTTCCCTTAAAACTACTTTAAAGCAAATTGCACCAATTATAGGAGAATAAGAGTAATCATTGCCCAAACACATACTTATGGGTATCTGAAGAAGTAAGCAGTGACTCACAAAAGCTCATACCCTGCCACAAATTATGTTAGTTTTTAAGGTGCTACTGGACACTTGTTCTTTTCTACAGCATACTGTGTCAAATTCTGTTTTGGGTTTGAGATCACCTTGGAAATAATATTAAAGATATGCATTGACAATTCTTGTGGAAACATGCCTTTGTACAGCATGTTTGATGTATTCATGTGACCACTGCCATTATCACTTTCTTCACACCGATGACTTAGAAGCAGAATGATGTGTGCGTGTTAAGTACTGCCAAGTTGCTTACGAATTATGGAGACCCTATGAATTAATGACATCCAAAATATCTTATAGTTAATAGCAGAATGATAGGAACAAAGTATTAATGTCACGTGACTCACCACCTTAATAGGATGTTAATAGATTGTGGATTCTACTGCCTTAATGACTGTTCCCATTTGGGGATGAGCAGGTGCATCCCACTGACTCCTGGGTAACCCAATGCACTATTAAATAGTTATATAGAAGATGAAATGGAATTAATACTCAGCCCTATAGCATTTTAGCAGAACAAACTGCACCCACTGAAATTTCCTCTATATTGTTAATGGCTATTAACAATACAAAAACCAGATTCTTGACTGCATCCACTCATCTCCTTCCTGGGTGATGGCCAGTCTTCAAGGACTCACAGAGGGCTTATTTCAAAAGTTGTTGGCATTTTCTTGTGTCATTGTGACCTGCCAAGTATTTTATGGCATTTATTTTAAGCAAGGCTTTTATATAGCTAATGCCAATAAATCTCTTTCTTTTTTTGGGGGGGGGGGAACGAAATGTCAAAGAATAATACAAGCAGCAGTGAAAGAGTTTCATTATTGGCTTCAGATTTTGTCACTGTTTCAATTTTAGCATTGTGATCCTTCTATGTACCGACCTTGCAGTCTTAGGAAGGAAGGAAGGAAGGGCAAAGAGTCAAATAAGAGAATAAAAGTGATTACAGGAAGGAGTCTAATGAAGCCTAGAGATACCTTTGAGTTGATTGAAGAGAAAAATCCTAGAAGACTTAGTGAGCACTAAAAGGCTAAGGCTGCAATGCAATCCTATTCACCTTTACCTGGGAGCAGGTCCCATTACTTTTGAGTAGATTTGTATACGCTTGCGCTGTATGGCTCACTCAGCTATTACACCACACTGGCTAGTACAATATGTCACTAGGAAAAAGGCCCGTTGTGGAAATAAATACAACGATCTCTAGAAAGAGGCTCTGGGCAGGTGCCCCGGCCTTGGACACTCAGTATCAATTTGCTGTGGCAACCTCAGCAGGGTATAATGACACTAAGTCCACCATTTTCTCCAGAGGAACTGATCTCTGCTACCTAAAGAACAGTTGTAATTTTGAGTGAGCTCCAGCCCTCACCTGGAGATTGGCAACGATGGTTCCCCAGAAGGGAATAGTTGGTTTGGAGGGTGGAGTCTATGGCTTTGTACCTGTCCAAGGTCCCCACGCCTCCTGAAAGCTCACCCTCTCCAGGCTCCATCCCTCACATCTCCAGGAATTTCCCACCTGGAGTTGGCAACCCTACCTCCTTCCCAGCCAATCATCAACCTACCTTTATTTCCCCCTCACTCTTCAGCTTTCCACCCCCCACACACCTGCAGCCTCTCCCGTGCTCTGAAGCCCTGACTGCTATGTCACATTGGCTGTCATACGGGGGCCACCTCAGCAGCATATAAGGATACAGAGCCCACCATTTTCTCCAGGGGAACTGATCTCTGCCATCTGGAAAGCAGTTGTAATTCTGAGTGATCTCCAGCCCTCACCTGGAGATTGGGCACATTTTACCTCAGAACAGAAAACTGTTTAGAATGTTAGAGGCAAAAGCCCATCAAGTCGCATATGCAAACGACTTCTGTGTTCCGAGGCAAAGGCCAATGAGGCTGCATATGCAAATAACCTCTGTGTTCTGACTGGCTATGGGGGGGAAAGGAACAGCAAACTGTTTAGAATGTTGGAGGCAGGACTCAGGCAAAGCAGCCAGTGGATAGGGAGACCCTCTGAATGACAGATCAGAGAGTGAACTGATTTTGGAGTGTGTGGAATGTTCTAGAGAAGTGCCACCACCATTCGGCTTTTATTTATAAGGGAGATTTCAGACTCCCCCCCCCTTTTCATTATTCATGAGGTTGCAAATCAAATCTAGTATGTATGGGGCATGATACAATTTTGAATTGGGACCCTGAATAAATATCAAGTTGCCAGTCACTCCACATAACTACTAGATGGGGGGGTGGAGATGGGGCCTGGCCTCATCTTTGTGAGAGTAAATACTCCTAGGTCTCTCTGTCAAAGTTTGGTACAGCCATTGATCTCTTTGTTAAGGCCTTATCTGAGCCCTCTGGTCTGATGCTGCTTTCTGTTATGAATCATCCAAAGCATTCTGCTGATTCAGAGCAACAAGTTCAGATATGAAGGAGACAACAGAGAGACAGCCTCAGTACTGCATTGAACAGGTATAGAGTTCCTTCCCTGGGCACCTTGGGATCCCTTTAACACCATAGGCATTACACTAGCTTTGTTCACAAGTTACAGAGAACACACATACTATCTGTATACAGTGCACACTTGGTTATTCTTTGTATGTGTGTGGACTAATTCTCATGTAACAGTCAACACATGTATTATTTATTTTATTATTTATTAACTTTGACTTTTAAACCACCCTCCCCTGAAAACAGGGCTCAGCTGAATGTGATACAAACCCAGTACTGGTCCCCTGTTTCATTTGTAAACTGAACATGTGTTGGCTCTTTCATACAAACAGATGTACACGTGTGCAGGCAGGATGCACATGTGCTTGCTGTGATCTGTGAACAGGGCTACTGTGGCTCCAGGAGACCATCTGTGCTATTTCATTGTATCTGATCCCCACAGAACCCACACAGCATGCTTTAGCTCACCTTAACAGTCAGGAGCCACTACCGGAGAGGTACAGAAGGCAGTTGGGGTAGCTGGCTTGTTGGCTTTGGCACTGGGAAGATTCCAGGGGCCGGTAGCAGAGCAGCTGTGATAGCAGAACAGCTGGGAAACTAGCAAGTGAATGAAACCACAAGGAATGGAGTTGGGGGGGCTGGCTGTGATCATATTCTGCACATGGTTATCCAACCAAAGGGACTAGAGGCAACATGGGGGGGGGACGGCGACGGACAAATAGCTTTAAAGACGTCTCTCTTTGCGCCCACTGGCTCATATGGGACAAACGCCAGTGCGCCACAATATTTTTAAAATAAAGTGTGCTGTCTGGCAAGCCTCTGTTTGGTCTCCTTTCAAAAAGCGTATGCTTGCTATGGGACAGACAGCAAAGCAGAGGAAGGAGGGAGAGGAACAAGGGAAGACCTTTTGGGCAGCTTACCGGAGGTGAACCACCTAAGTGTCATCGCGTTCTCTTTACATTAAGAAGCTGTGGGTCTCCACGGCCAGCTTGCCGAAGTGTGTGTGTGTTATGTATTGGTTTTGTGATTTTAAGCCAGGCTTAGCGTAATTTTTTAATGTCTAGTGGTGAAAAGTATGCAGATGGAGAGTGATTCAGCTAAGCATACCTTTATTTAGTTAAGAACAAAGACAACTGACCGGCTCGCAGGCCGGTTTATATGCGTTCAGAAAACCCGCCACCAAACTCACCTAAACACCCCCCCTATTCCCGATTGGCTATTTACAGTAACTGAGAGACCTATTGGCCTCCCGGCTGGGGACCTAGCCCTTTCATTGGGCCGGCTAGGATCCTACGGACCCATTGTCTTTAGACCTTAAGCTATAGAGGAATTGTGCCTGGCCAGCCCGGGGAAGTCCGGCCATGTCAGGCTGAATACATTACAAATAGTAAGCGCCACTGCGTTGAATCGGGTTTTACTCTTCAGCAATATGCACGGTGCGCGGCTGCTTCATTGATGCTGCTCAGCTTAAAGAAACGACATCCTTTGGAAATGTGGTCCAAACCTGCTTGGTTTTCTACCGACGATGTTTCTTACCAGGGAACCGTAGAATGTGGTGTCTCTGGGAAAGAATGGCTGTCTGCGCTTCCACTGTGGCCTGTAACCACTATTTATTTGAACGCTGGTGTGTCAAAGTTGTTTTACTCATCCGGCTGCGCGGGTCACCTGTCAGTATGTTAGTAGATTCATGTACTGTAGATCCAGACGAAGCGGTGGTGGAGCAAAGGTTTAAAGGAGTGGGGTGGGGTGGGCAGAATCTGCCACAATCGCGTGTGCGGTTTAAATTTCCAGTATAAAGGAGTCCCTCCTAGTAGCAAAGCTCCAGGCTTTGCAATGCGTGCCTTGTTTTCTATCCTGCACACCAACAGGGCACGCGTAAACGTCACCAGGGAGGCTTCCTCTCGCTGGGCTCAGTGCTTTGAAGGGGGAGGAGAGCGAAGCCGGCAGAAAGAAAGGGAGGCGGATCCGCGGGCGGAGGAGGAGCGAAAGGCTGAAGAGAGGCGGGGAGCAAGGCTGCGTTTCCAGCACAAGAGCGAGAGGAAGGCGCGGCGGGCTGTGCCGTGTGCCCATGCTCCCTCTCCCGTGAAGCTCGCCTCTGCTCTGCCCCCAGACCCTGCCAGGGCCCGGGCGGCCATGGCTTCCATGGCGGCGGCGATCGCTGCCTCCCGCACAGCCGTCATGAACGGCAACCGGCCGCTGGACGAGCGGGAGCGCAAGCGCTTCAGCTACTTCTCGTCGCTGAGCCCCATGGCTCGCAAGATCATGGCGGAGAAGGAGCGCATCCGCGAGCGGTACGGGCCCGAGTGGGAGCGGCTGCCGCCCAGCCAGCAAGACGAGATCATCGACAAGACCCTGGTGGAGCCGCAGGTCCAGGCCCGGTATGCGGCGCACCGAGGAGCCGCCCGGAGCTCCCCGCCTCCGGTCTGCTACCCGAACCTGCGCCTCAACACCGGCCAGAAGGTGGTGCACTTCGGCGACGAGGTAAAGCCACGCGGCTGTGTCGCTTGCCGGGATCGAGTAGCTCTTTGCACATGCTCGGGGGCGTCTTTTCCCGCGCATCTAGACTTCCAAGGCCGAGGCGGCGCGGTTCTGTTAAGGTGTCCTAGGACGGGGGTGAGAGAGGGCAGGGAAAGCAAATGTAGCTGGAAGATCAGGCCGTATAGAAAGAGGTCTTTGTCTGCTTTGAGGCAGGGTTCGTGAGAAGGGCTTATCATCTCCCTGCCAGCGCTTTCCCTGGAATCTGTAGTAAGAAGAGATTAGGGTATAAGGAGGTACAATGCTCAGTGTTCTCTTACCATTACATTTATAAGTGGGTCTTTCACTGTGAGGGGTATTAATAAGGGCTAATAAACGGCTTTCAGAATACAAAGGGGGGGGGGCGTCCTAGCAGGCTTCACTCTTCTTAGTATCCCTGGCTGTTGAAATTCAGATGCCCAGCCAGGAGCTGGCTACTGCTGGTGAACCTCATACTGATTCTTGAACTTAGAGCTTTGGCTTCTACAGGTACTGAAACTACTGGGACTTTCAGCAGTCTGTAGTTGAAGAGTATTAGCTGCATAAAGTATAATTGGTCCTACTAATTGTTGACGAAGTAAATCGTTGATGCCACATCTTTCTTGCATGCATTCCAGCTGTAGCTACCACTGGTAATAAGCACTGTCAAGGCTCATGAAAGAAACTATTGCTCCACTGTAAAAGAGAGGCTTTGAATGAGATCACAGTAGACACAGTGGAAGCGGCCTATACTGCCTCATGTTCTTTCGTGGGTGCTTGCTACCAAATGCAGTACTTATTTGGGTTCTCCTGAAGAACACAGGGTAGATTTTGAGAAAGGTGCCATGATAGAGTGGTGCATCCTAAAGTAATAACATTTAAGAGGAGAAAACCACGTATGCTCCCTGAGCTCCTCAGTACAGGGGTGGAATAAAAATGGGGCAGATAAACAGAGGCTGCTAGTGAATTTACTATGGCATAATGATCAATCCCAGCAATAATGAGATACATGAAAGTAGGTGGAGAAGGTAGCCTGCATATTTATTTATATAATACTTAAAACAGCCTTTTGCCAAAGGACGGGGGAGAATGTGAGGTGGTTTAGTCAGTTTTTAAAAAGTGGATTGCACGAGTTCAATTCACTACATTCACACAGTTCACTGCAACTTTCGTGAAGTCCCCTTAAAGTCATTCACATGCCTAGGGGTGCATGGAGGTCCTTTGGTATGAAGAGGAAATGCACATGCACACCAGTATGATACTGATGTCATAACCTAGGGGGCACGTTGGTCCTGCCAGCTCAAATATTCATGTGTATGTCACAGTGTTGTTTTGTATGACAGCTGTGTGTGGCCAAGGACAAGTAGGTATGAGGTGGAACTGACTGCAGGGCAGTTGTAGGTGAGTTGGTCCTAAATACTTTTCAGTTCTGTTATCTTTGCTGCTGGAATACATTGGGATTCCACTTCCTTCAGTTGCTGTTCTTTCCTTCCACTGTATCTTCATCCATATGCATGGTTCATGCCTTGTACATAAGCTGTTACCTTAGTTGCATAAATCACATAGTTTTGAGGGTGCCACAGGACTCTGCCTCATTTGCTGCAATAAGCCAGCATGGCTGAATAAATTCAGAAGCACTAGAATGAGACACGTGGAGTTTAACCTCGGATTCACTTCAGATGCTAGCTTCATATGATACTGAGAACTTTCCAGCTGTGCTGGAGGTTGGGGATGCGTAGTGGAGAATTGTTGCAGTGCTGGGTATTGCCACAATGTTGGCTAGTCAGTGACTTACTAGCTTGAGGAGTCATGGATGGCTGAAAATGTTTCAAATACAGAATGGGGAAGAATGTGACACTTTTTCTTAGCTGTGAGATCTTTATCCCGCTCCCTTACCCTTTTAAAAAATGGACGTGTGTGTGTAAAAAAGGACACTCCTATGCATGCCTGGTTTCTCAGAACAGATTCTGAGTTCTCTAGCACAGTGGCTTTCATGCTTTTCCCCTTCATGAAATCCTTTCTACTAACTGACTTGTCAGATGAAGAATTTCTGGCTAACTTTCACAGAACCCTAGCACATTACAGAGGATTCTGGGGAAACTATTGGGACAGACAAAATTAACGTGGGGTGTTGACCTGCCTGTTGGGCCTCTACAAACATCAGTGTTCTCCTGTAGTTGCTTTTTGCAGGGGAAAATTGTACGTGGTGTGCAAGCTGTCATTCAGGGAACCTTTTCTGTTACTACTAGTTTCACATTGAGGAATCTCAGGGCTCCCCCAATCATAGTTTGAAAAAATTATGGTTACCCATGTTGTGTCTCTCTTACCTTCTTCCCCCATCGCAGCTTGAGGGGGATTTCTGTTAAGAAGGGGGGCGTTGTTAAATGTTCCCCTTCCTTAGTACCGGGGCCCCATCACAATTCAGGCCCTAATCATACAATTCATACTATCAAACAGTTCCTTTCAAAAGGTGATCCAATCACAGATTTCCTGTGAAATGAACAGTCCTGCTTTTAGTAGGGCATTTCCCCAAACATACAAATGTGCACGTGTAAAAGAAAACAATAACTATGGATCTACTAGAACAGTACCACGATTGCCTGTTACAGAATTACAGACCCAGTTATACCTGGTGCGTGGCATATGTCTTGTAGTATGAATCACAGCAAATATTGAAGTAAACACGACCAGTGTGCCTCAAAAATGCTAACAGTAATTCAATTAGCCTAAAAGTTCATGCGAGAAATAACACAATTTATAAAAAGAGTATGCTGGGTATTCATTTGTTTAGCAACAGATGGTAGGAAGTTACTGCTAAAATTAGATTTGAGGAAACATTTGCATCTGACTCTAGGAATCTGGCAGCCTTTTCCATGTTCCTTCAAGGAAGCCTGGCTGCATAATATTATGGATATTCCAGCTTCTGGAGTTTTTAAGAGACCTCCTCAAAAAGTTGGTTTTCTACTTCTGCTCTTGATCCAGGAAAAAACTAGAGTGCGGAAAAAGCAGTTTACTGGGGTGACACAGAAGTGTGCTTAGCTTTGGACTTCCAGTTGATGGTGGCTACTTGCTGCAAAGCTGTTGGGGGAAAACATCTGGATTTATACATCAGTGTTAAAAACACCACTGTTCTTTCCAATATGTAACACGGCTGGAAGAGTGCCAAAGTGCATTCTGAACACTAATTGGTGTTGCAGCAGGTCTTCTGATTGGGCTTCATTTCCATTCAGGGGATTGAAATAATGCATGTAAATCAGGCACTGTTCTGCTGAGCCCTGGCCTCAGTGACAGCATACAAGTCAACCTTGGGAATAAGCACAGAGATATAAACACATCAACAGCATTGCTTGAAAAGGGGGTGGGTGGGTGGGTTAGGCTGTATTTGAAGAGCCGCCTATGGGCTTAAGCATGGCCATTTTTCTTTGAACTGTAGCACACACCCCTCTCACACACAAACATAGAAGCTATATGACAGAAGGTTTAGGGAAGTCTTTTCAATCTCAAAAATTGTTTGTTGTGTAGCTGCTGTTTAAGACACACCAGCTAAAAGCCCTACTGGACACATAGAATGAATTCCCAAAACAGCACCACATCTTAAAAATTGGAATAAAAGCTATGATGCCTAACACAGCAGCAGCCACTGCAGCAAGCATCTCTCTGTAGGGCTTCTCCATTAGTGACATTGTGGACAGACTTGTCAGTTGACTGCTAAGTACACCTCGCCTTGCTAAGTGTTTCACACACACTGTGTTAGTACTGCATCTGGATCACAGTTCCTAAGGTGCAGTGTGATAGCAAGTCACGGCAAAGCAGTCCTGGTACAGATGTGGCAGCGTTACAAACCAGAAATCTCATATGAAGAAAGAACTCCTGTTTTCTCGGAGTCTGCTGGGAAAGAAGGAGCCAATAACAGATGGAGATGAGGGGATCTTTTTTTCCCAATGACAAATTTTGAATGTTGGCAGTAGCAACATTTTAGATTTTTTTGGCAAGCACATGCCATACTGTAATCATTTTTTGTGGTTCAGATATAATTTAAGTACCATGGAAAATCTCTGCCAGTTTGGTGTAGTAGTTAAGTGTGTGGACTCTAATCTGGGAGAACCAGGGTTGAGTCCCCACTCCTCCACACACAGCTGCTGGATGACCTTGGGCAAGACATAGTTCTGTCAGAGCTCTCTCAGCCCCACCTACCGCACAGGGTGTCTGTTGTGGGGAGGGGAAGGGAAAGGAGTTTGTAACCTGCTCTGAGACTCCAAGTGAAGAGCAGGGTATAAATATAATCTCCACTTCTTCTTCTCTTCTTAAAGAATAAAGCTTTAAAATTACCTACCCTGCCTGTCCAAGGGCTGGCTTGCCTGGGCTCTCCGCAGCCATAGGGCGCCTGGGCAAGTCAACGGAAGGTATGGGGTGTGCTAATATGCTAATGAGCTGCACTTTCAGGGGTGTTGCCTATTATGCTAATGAGTTCCTGATGTTGGGTGTGGCCTATTATGCTAATGAGTTCCAGCTGGGCTTTTTCTACAAAAAAGCCCTGAGGCACAGCATCATTGTGGTAAAGTGCAATATTGTAATGGTATTGCCACTTATGTAAAGCTCTTTCTGAGTCTGTAGTCATGTAGCAAGTGAATGTGCTTTCGATTTTGTAACAACAGATAATTTGAAGTTTAAGATAATTAGAATTTGAATTAACTCCAAACTCTCATTGATACATCAGATGTTTAAATTTTTATATGGTGTATTTTGATCATATGTAAAATGTATACACACTGGAAGGGGCACCTTTAGTGCCAGCCTAAACAGTGAGGAGCAACACTGGATGCCTCTTTGTCTATGGAGGCCCAGGTGGCCACAGTTGCCGGATCTGCATTCTTCCATTTTAGGCAGATCAGGCTACTCAAGCCATATCTCCCCCCCCCCCCCAACACCCACCTGCGGCTAGCCAGTAAATGGAACCCT